TCCACATCCCCTCCCCATGATTTGTCGTGATTGAAGAATTCCTCGGTGCATGCACCTAAAGTCAGTTGCCATAATAGCTCAAAATTCCCCAAATAATGATATTTCGAGTACTAAAAATGACGTTATCCCAACGTTTGATTTTTGGTGGCCCTGAAAAGGGCCAATTGTAAAATTCCTTTATGTTGGCAGTTGCTGGAAGTGTCCTCCTCCAGCCGCCACACAAGCATGAATCCTCCTGAGGACTCCCATCCTCACAAGCCGAAACATCTCAGGATCCACGTTAGTCACGGCTGCATGCAGTCGTGCCACCAAGTCCTCCGCAGTCTCTGGCTCTGTCTTGTAGACTTGTTCCTTCAGGTAGCCCCAAAGGAAGAAGTCTAGCGGCGTCAAATCAGGTGATNTGCCACACAAGCATGAATCCTCCTGAGGACACCCATCCTCATAAGCCGAAGCTTCTCAGGATCCACGTTGGTCACGGCTGCATTCAGTCGTGCCACCAAGTCCTCCGCAGTCTCTGGCTCTGTCTTGTAGACTTGTTCCTTCAGGTAGCCCCAAAGGAAGAAGTCTAGCGGCGTCAAATCAGGTGATCTAATAAGAATGAAACGTTTAACTTCTAGTACGCGATATGTTTCTCGACTAGTCTTACCGTGCTGGCCAGCGGAGCGGACCAAAGCGACCGAACCAACGCCCAGGAAACTGCAGATTCAGATAGGCACTGANTGTGCTGGCCAGCGGAGCGGACCAAAGTGACCTAACAAACGCCCAGGAAACTGCAGATTCGGATAGGCACTGACTTGTCGAGCAGAGTGGGGTGGTGCTCCATCCTGCTGAAACCACTGAGGTCTACTTGCGATCGGTATATCGTCCAGCATTTCCGTGAGCCTCTCCGTAAGGAATGTGTAGTACCTTCCACCCTGAAAGGAATAAAAATGGAGAATAAGAGGATTTTGCCGATCGCGTGTCGTATTCGTGTAGGTGTGTGTATAATAACTCACATCCATACAATCCGGGAGTTGATAAATGAATGCCCGATCACCCACTATTCCTCCCCACACGGTCACTTTCCACCGTGTCTGAAAACTTTTCTCTCTCACCAAGTGGGGATTTTCAACCCCATAATTGTGCAAATTATGCTGATTGAAAATCCCCTCTCTGGTGAACAGACTCTGATCTGTCCACAGGATTTGGGACAAAAAGTTTTCATTCCGGTAATACAAAGCCAGAAACTCTTGCCAGTAATGCAAACGTTGAGCTGCATCTCCTGGCTCGAGTTTCTGGACTTTTGTGTAGTGAAACGCATGGAGAGAATTGTCCCGCAGAATGCGAGAGACCGTCGACTTGGACAGCCGGTTGCTCTCTCGAGCTCCCGACACCTCACCATCGGGTCATTCTCCACGCGCTCCAAGACCTCCTCCTCGACGTCAAGATGACGTTGAGGTCTCCCTCCGCAACCTTGTGGCAACACGTGGTTCTCTCGCATCCGAGCATCCACTGCCTGAAACACGTGTGGGGATGGATGTTCTCGATTGGGCCATTTACGACGGTACCTCCTCGCTGCCTCTGCTCCATTGCACTCGCATTCACCATACATGAGATACATGTCGACGTGTTCGTTCACTGTATAATCCTCCATATTTCACTTTACGTCTAACGCCGGCGAGGAATCAAACACAATTGACGCGCCCTGCCCAAAACACAATATTCACCTCTCATTTCCTTTATTTATCATTGAAGCAATCACCAAATATTTCCAAGAACTCCTCGTGTTGACATAACAAGAGAGCACGAGACGATGTAAATACATTAAATAAAGATATCGCAGTTTTATTCATTTTATTTACATCGTCTCTCGCTCTCTTGTTATGTCAACACGAGGAGTTCTTGGAAATATTTGGTGATTGCTTCAATGATAAATAAAGGAAATGAGAGGTGAATATTGTGTTTTGGGCAGGGCGCGTCAATTGTGTTTGATTCCTCGCCGGCGTTAGACGTAAAGTGAAATATGGAGGATTATACAGTGAACGAACACGTCGACATGTATCTCATGTATGGTGAATGCGAGTGCAATGGAGCAGAGGCAGCGAGGAGGTACCGTCGTAAATGGCCCAATCGACAACATCCGTCCCCGCACGTGTTTCAGGTAGTGAATGCTCGGATGCGAGAGAACCACGTGTTGCCACAAGGTGGCGGAGGGAGACCTCAACGTCATCTTGACGTCGAGGAGGAGGTCTTGGAGCGCGTGGAGGATGACCCGATGGTGAGCTGTCGGGAGCTCGAGAGAGCAACCGGCTGTCCGAAATCGACGGTCTCTCGCATTCTGCGGGACAATTCTCTCCACCCGTTTAACTACACAAAAGTCCAGAAACTCGAGCGAGGAGATGCAGCTCAGCGTTTGCATTACTGTCAAGAGTTTCTGGCTTTGTATTACCGGAATGAAAAATTTTGTCCCAAATCCTGTGGACAGATGAGAGTCTGTTCACCAGAGAGGGGATTTTCAATCAGCATAATTTGCACAATTATGGGGTTGAAAATCCCCACTTGGTGAGGGAGAAAAGTTTTCAGACACGGTGGAAAGTGAACGTGTGGGGAGGAATAGNTTTGGGGCTACCTGAAGGAACAAGTCTACAAGACAGAGCCAGAGACTGCGGAGGACTTGGTGGCACGACTGCATGCAGCCGTGACCAACGTGGATCCTGAGAAGCTTCGGCTTGTGAGGATGGGAGTCCTCAGGAGGATTCGTGCTTGTGTAGCGGCTGGAGGAGGACACTTCCAGCAACTGCCAACATAAAGGAATTTTANGCGCCCTCCCCAAAACACAATATTCACCTCTCATTTCCTTTATTTATCATTGAAGCAATCACCAAATATTTCCAAGAACTCATCGTGTTGACATAGCAAGAGAGCACGAGACGATGTAACTAAAATAAATAAAGATATCGCAGTATTATTCATTTTATTTACATCGTCTCGTGCTCTCTTGTTATGTCAACACGAGGAGTTCTTGGAAATATTTGGTGATTGCTTCAATGATCAATAAAGGAAATGAGAGGTGAATATTGTGTTTTCGGGAGGGTGACGCGCCGGTTGTGTTTGATTTCTCGCTGGAGTTAGACGTAAAGTGAAATATGGAGGATTATACAGTGAACGAATACGTCGACATGCATCTCATGTATGGTGAATGCGAGTGCAATGGAGCAGAGGCAGCGAGGAGGGACCGTCGTAAATGGCCCAATCGACAACATCCGTCCCCGCACGTATTTCAGGCAGTGGATGCTCGGATGTGAGAGAACCACGTGTTGCCACAAGGTGGCGGAGGGAGACCTCAACGTCATCTTGACGTCGAGGAGGAGGTCTTGGAGCGCGTGGAGGATGACCCGATGGTGAGCTGTCGGGAGCTCGAGAGAGCAACCGGCTGTCCGAAGTCGACGGTCTCTCGCATTCTGCGGGACAATTCTCTCCACCGGTTTCACTACACAAAAGTCCAGAAACTCGAGCCAGGAGATGCAGCTCAGCGTTTGCATTACTCTCAAGAGTTTCTGGCTTTGTATTACCGGAATGAAAACTTTTTGTCCCAAATCCTGTGGACAGATGAGAGTCTGTTCACCAGAGAGGGGATTTTCAATCAGCATAATTTGCACAATTATGGGGTTGAAAATCCCCACTTGGTGAGGGAGAAAAGTTTTCAGACACGGTGGAAAGTGAACGTGTGGGGAGGAATAGAGGGTGATCGGGCATTTATTTATCAACTCCCGGATTGTATGAATGCGGGTGATTATTATACACACACCTACACGAATACGACACACGATCGGCAAAATCCTCTTATTCTCCATTTTTATTCCTTTCAGGGTGGAAGGTACTACACATTCCTTACGGAGAGGCTCACGGAAATGCTGGACGATATACCGATCGCAAGTAGACCTCAGTGGTTTCAGCAGGATGGAGCACCACCCCACTCTGCTCGACAAGTCAGTGCCTATCTGAATCTGCAGTTTCCTGGGCGTTCGTTAGGTTGCTTTGGTTCGCTCCGCTGGCCAGCACGGTAAGACTAGTCGAGAAACATATCGCGTACTAGAAGTTAAACGTTTCATTCTTATTAGATCACCTGATTTGACGCCGCTAGACTTCTTCCTTTGGGGCTACCTGAAGGAACAAGTCTACAAGACAGAGCCAGAGACTGCGGAGGACTTGGTGGCACGACTGCATGCAGCCGTGACCAACGTGGATCCTGAGAAGCTTCGGCTTGTGAGGATGGGAGTCCTCAGGAGGATTCATGCTTGTGTGGCGGCTGGAGGAGGACACTTCCAGCAACTGCCAACATAAAGGAATTTTACAATCGGCCCTTTTCAGGGCCACCAAAAATCAAACGTTGGGATAACGTCATTTTTAGTACTCGAAATATCATTATTTGGGGAATTTTGAGCTATTATGGCAACTGACTTTAGGCGCATGCGCCGAGGAATTCTTCAATCACGACAAATCATGGGGAGGGGATGTGGACGATGCATTTCAGAGCGATTTGTGATGACGTTAGCTTAAATACACAAATGAACGATTTTTCTGTGTTTGAAAAAAATTTTGGTTTCAAGGCCACTGACACCAAACCGTGGAGTGTTTAATGCTTGCAATCATATATCCCTAGTGATGTGAGGAAGCCTTGGGAAACGCGAGAGGGTTTTCGGAAGCTCTCATGTGGGTCATTCCCGGATTTTTCTTCATTTTCTAGAAATTTAATGATTAATTTATGTTTTGACTGCACGAGAATTTATGCCATTAGGTGAATAGGTCTTACCAAGTTTAATCCTTACAATTACATATCCCTAGGGATATGAGGAAGCTCTGGGAAATGCGAGAGGAATTTCGGAAGCTTTCATGTCGGTCATTTCCGCTTTTTTCTTGATTTTCCAGAAAATTAATGATCAATTTCTGATTTGACTGCACGAGAATTCATGCCATTACGTGAATAGGTCTTACCAAGTTTAATCCTTACAATTACATATCCCTAGGAATATGAGGAAGCTCTGGGAAATGCGAGAGGAATTTCGGACGCTTTCATCTCGGTCATTCATGCGTTTTTCCTGATTTTCCAGAAATTTAATCATGAATTTCTGATTTGACTGCACGCAAACTCATGCCGTGGGTGTATAAGTCTGGCCAAGTTCCATCCTTGCAATGACATATCCCTAGGAATATGACGAAGCTCTGGGAAACGCGAGAGGAAATTCGGAAGCTTTCATGTCGGTCATTCATGCGTTCTTCTTGATTTTCCAGAAATTTAGTCATGAATTTCTGATTTGACTGCACGTAAACTCATGCCATTGGGTGTGTAAGTCTGGCCAAGTTTAGTTCTTGCAATTACATATCCCTAGGAATATGACGAAGCTCTGAGAAACGCGAGAGGAAATTTGGAAGCTTTCATGTCGGTCATTCATGCGTTTTTCTTGATTTTCCAGAAATTTAATCATGAATTACTGATTTGACTGCACGAGAATTCATGCCATTAGGTGAATAGGTCTTACCAAGTTTAATCCTTACAATTACATATCTCTAGGGATATGAGGAAGGTCTGGGAAATGCGAGAGGAATTTCGGAAGCTTCCATGTCGGTCATTCATGCGTTTGTCTTGATTTTCCAGAAATTTAATCATGAATTACTGATTTGACTGCACGAGAATTCATGCCATTAGGTGAATAGGTCTTACCAAGTTTAATCCTTACAATTACATATCTCTAGGGATATGAGGAAGGTCTGGGAAATGCGAGAGGAAATTCGGAAGCTTTCATGTCGGTCATTCATGCGTTTGTCTTGATTTTCCAGAAATTTAATCATGAATTACTGATTTGACTGCACGAGAATTCATGCTATTAGGTGAATAAGTCTGGCCAAGTTTAATCCTAGCAATCACATATCCCTGGGGATATGACGAAGCCCTGGAACACGCGAGAGGCATTTCGGAAGCTTACATGTCGGTGATTTACGCGCTTTTCTTTATTGTCTAGAATTTTCGTGATTAATTTTTGATTTGACGAGAACTTATGCAATTGGGTGAACAAGTCTGGCCAAGTTTAATCCCTGTAATCACACATTTCTAGTGATATGGAGAAGCTCTGGGAAACGCGAGAGGACTTTCGGATGCTTTCATGTCGATCATTCACGCGTTTTCCTTTATTTTCTAGAATTCTCGTGATGAATTTATGTTTCGACTGCACGAGAACTCATTCCGTTGGGTGAATAAGTCTGGGCAAGTTTAATCCCTGCAATCACACATCTCTAGTGATATGAAGAAGCTCTGGGAAACGCGAGAGGACTTTCGGATGCTTTCATGTCGATCATTCACGCGTTTTCCTTTATTTTCTAGAATTCTCGTGATGAATTTATGTTTCGACTGCACGAGAACTCATTCCGTTGGGTGAATAAGTCTGGGCAAGTTTAATCCCTGCAATCACACATCTCTAGTGATATGAAGAAGCTCTGGGAAACGCGAAAGGAATTCCGGAAGCTCTCATGTCGGTCATTCACGCGCTTTTCTTTATTTTGCAGAAATTTAATGATGAATTTCTGATTTGACTGCACGAGAACTCATGCCATTGGGTGACTAAGCCTGGCCGCTTGGCCATAATCCTTGCAATCACACATCCCTAATGATATGAAGAAGCTCTGGGAAACGCGAGAGGAATTCCGGAAGCTCTCATGTCGGTCATTCACGCGCTTTTCTTTATTTTGCAGAAATTTAATGATGAATTTCTGATTTGACTGCACGAGAACTCATGCCATTGGGTGACTAAGCCTGGCCGCTTGGCCATAATCCTTGCAATCACACATCCCTAATGATATGAAGAAGCTCTGGGAAACTCGAGAGGAATTCCGGAAGCTCACATGTCGGTCATTCACGCGCTTTCCTTCAATTTCCAGAAATTTAATGATGAATTTCTGATTTGACTGCAGGTAAATGGACGCCATTGGGCGAATAAGTTGTGGCGGAATCCCGAAATTAAACAAAATCATTGGCTAAGTGTGTGGACGATGTGTCTCAAGCGAATTTGAGATGACTGAATGTGATCTCCTGGAATATCTGTTTTTCTATTTTCCTGGAGGAATTTTTTGGTTTCACAAGACCACTGATATCAGGCGCATGCGCCGAGGTTTTCAAAAATTATACCGAATTATGGGTTGGTTGTGTAGATAATATATTCTAGAGTGTTCTTCGGTGGCGTCATTTTTAGTCCCAGTAATATTCATTTTTCCATCGTTTTTGGAAAATTTGGGGCTATCTGTGCCATTGACTCCAAGCGCATGCGCCAAGGAATTCCTAAATCACAACAAATCATGAGCTGGGGATGCGAATGATCTATCTCAGAGTAATTTGCGATTACGTAATTTTACATCTGTAAACATCGATTTTTCCTTTCCGTTTGAGGAATTGATGGGGATTTAGTTGTTTTCAGGTTACTGACATCAGACGCATACGCCGAGGAATTGCAAAAGTATACCAAATCATGGAGTGGCACTGCTGATGCTATATTCCAAAAAAATCTCTGTTGCCATCATTGTAAATTTCCGAAATGACAATTTTTCCAAGATTTTTCAAGAATGTTTGAGAATTTTCGAGTAATTATGCGCGGAGGAGAGAAGGGAAGTGGGTTTAACATTAATTGGATTGGTAAATGACAGGCCTGACGAATGGTATTTGGACTCCCCTCCCCCTCAAAAAAAAAAAATTTAATATTTTAATTTAATATTCTCTTTACTTATTTTCTCTGAAAGGAATTGGGCCGCGAGGGGCCGAGGGGGAATGTGGGACAATGACCTACGCCAAAAAAGTAACAAAAATGGAGAAAACAAAAATTTAACTATTTCCTAAAAGTTTTGTTGCGGCCCTGAAATAAGTAGTAACGGACTATAAAAAACATAGTCCGCCAAAATTATTTTAAAAAATTAAAAATTCTAGAATGGTCTGATCCAAAAATGGAGGAGGAACTTTACACTTCAAAAAGCACCCTCTTCAATACCCTTCAAGGAAAAGTAGTAGTTTGCGGGATACCCTGATAGAAAATATCTCAATAAAAGAAGTTGCATGGAAAACTATAATTCTATTGAGTTTTGCTACAAAATATGTTCTATTCAACATTTTAATAGAAACGGCCAAAAACTTGTAGGAAATTCAATAGAAATCTAATAGAATTGTTTAACGAATTACGTAGGATTTTCTACTAAATTTTTTCATCAGTGCGAAAAATTGTTGAAAAAAAAATTACTAAATTTTTTCGCTTCTTTCAACTCTAAAAGTTATTTCTTTCAGAATTTTGAACTCAGCCATTTAATAGATATTAAATAATGAAAATACATCTTCCAGCGCATCCCTCGTAAGGTGACCAATCTAGGGTTAATTTAAATATTAATTTCTGGTCTGTGACTATTTAAGAGCCGAACCGAAAAACTACTATCTCCTATTTGGTGGAAAAAAAACATATCAGGAGAGCGAAATACGTATTGGAGCATTGAATAACGAAGAAGTAGTGCTAAAAATTGAATTTCTTGCTTGCACGGAGAATACAAATTTTATAAACATACATAATTTATTTTGGCCCCAAAAATTTCAATCTCGGTGCACGCTTCGCATGTTTGGCACAAGAAAATCTTATTTTTGATAAGTTTTAACAAACTATTTTTTTAGCACAAGTAAGACTTGTTTGAGCACTCTGCAGTTTTTCTCAGTATGCCCATAATATAAAATGTAAAATGTAAAATTAAAATTTTGCACATAGGCCCGGATGATACCAACCCGAGTGATGTTTCAGGAATCTGCCAATCCATTAATTCATCACAAAGAGATATACTCTCTGAAAATGATAGAGGACTCACTCCTTTCCAGACTGTATCGATGAAACCCCACTTTAAATACCCAATAACGAGCGAGTTAAGTTACGATACATATCAAGGTAATAAAACATTTTGATCACAATATTAAACGAAATAGAAAATCATAAAACTCCTCTTTGGACCGCTTGTATTAATTCCTCTAATTCTCCTTGCTTGCACTCGAAACGTTGGCATAGTGGAGAGTAATTGAGAATTTGTTTTTTGAGAAGAGTTAAAAATTTGACCGCATAATGGCCCAAGCAAGGAGAATTAGAGGAAATAGAAAATCGTTGATTGTTATAATTAAAATTCAAAGTTGATCCCATAATATTCCATATAAGATAGACCTTGAATTTAGGCATATCTGTAATAATTCTATCAAAGTTCCTTTTCTATAATAATTCTACATCAATTTATTCAACCATTCGTAATTTTCCAAAAACCCAACTTCTCAGCCATTAGCG